TGGTATGTTCGTTTAACGCTTCAACCCTGAGAGTTTTTCTTGCTTAAATGATGATTATCAATTTCATATCTACAAAGAATGCAGAACCAAAATATTTATAGTGTGTGTAGTTTTAGATATTGAAATGGTGCAACAGGGGGAAAATGCCACTTGTGAATCGGGTAGAACAAAATACAAGAGAGTATGGAAAGGAACAACCACAAAGAAAGTATATGAACTGTAGAACTGAAATGTTCATAGCATGTTGAATAGATGTTGTAGCATGTGCTATATGCTATATGTACGCTGTAAATCAGCTGTGTGCGAGCTTTTTTACAAATGAGTGGGACTGCTTTTACAATTTTATCAGAGCTGATTGTTTAGTTGCGAGGTAGCTGATTTTTATGTTTGATGGATTAGCAGTTTCTCCCAAGTTGAAGCATGTAGGACTAGGAATGCTTCAAGCTTGTTGCACATTATTCTTAACACTGAAGACTATGATTGATTTATTTAACTGGGATGTGCAAAATTGATACAGAAAGCTGGAAACTTGAACTTTGAAATTGGTACCTTGAAGTAGAAGTTTACTGTAGTTCACTTTGTTTCCTTTTGTTTCTCCTTTTCTCTCTTCTTTCGATTCTTTTCTTCTATTGTTTTACTTCAACTTTTTTACTTCCTGAGTGACTGATAGGGCATCTCTGTATAAATTATTTCACATAGTTGATTCGAGAAAAAAAAATCTAAAGATGGGAAAATGATGGGATTGCAATTGCAATGCAAGGTACTTTAGATTTCTCATGAGAAACTTCTGTGGCATATAAATAAGCCAACTAAAGAAAGTTACAGAAAGATATAGTATAGAAATGCTTGTTTCTTAACTTGGAGAAGCACATAGAAAGATCAAGACTTCCAGATTTGTAGGGAAAAGAACACTGCAATTAAAAAGGCAATGGCGGTGGGACAGATATGGAACTTTTGAACAGTAAACTTTAAGCCTTAATCTGTAATCCATTTTTACCCCACATAAAAAGCATACAACTTACATGCATGCTTTTAATTGCTAAGTGTGCTGATTGTTGGTTTGCTATGGGCAATAATATTGAGCACACTTTTTGAAACTTTTTAGGTACTGGAAACACTAGCTGCTCTTGACAGAGCTATTCATTCTCCTCATGCAGCAACACAGGTAGTTTTAAAATCTATCAAAGAATTCAAAGTAAAAGAATTTTTTGTTCAAATTTCAATTGAATGAATTGATAGGAACATTACTGACTCTAGTTGGCGCTTGTTGATATGCTGATTGATAAACTGTTGTTCTTGTCTTCATATGACAGTTGATTTAAGTGCCTTTTAGAGGGGAATTAATTATTGTTATCTTGTCTACCAACAGTTTTGCAATTGGATAACTTTATGTCATATTATATTCACAATTCACTTTGCTTCCTTTTGATTTCAAACGATTCAAATAGCCTCATTAGTCTACTGTTGAATAATACAGGAGGTCTCTATGGCTGTTCCAAAACTAACAAGGGATTCATCTGGCCAGTACAGTGATTTTCATATACTGTCTTCTTTAAACTTTCAGGTTATCTTAATTGTCTTTAATTTTCTCTACATCTAGCTTTTCTCTGTTGTTGCTGACTTGCTGTCTTTGCCATAATTTTATTTTTCGAATTTCTTACAGCTTTTTGAAAGCTCAGCTTTGATGCATGTATCTGCAGTCAAATCCCTACTTTCTGCACTACGTCAGTTGTCACATCAGTCCCTCTCTGCAACGGTTAGCTTTGTACAAGCATCAAATCAAAAGGCCGGAAGCATCAGCTTTGCGATTGAAAGAATGCTTTCGGTCCTAGTCAACAATCTTCATAGTATGTTCTTAATCTAAATTCAAGCATTTGGATCCTTTTTTGTCTCCCTCGGTTCCTTTTTTTTTTTTGTCCATACCTTTCTAGGTAGAGATAAGGTCTGTGTACACTCACCCCAAACCCCACTCGTGGGACTATACTTGGTAGGTTGTTGTTCTATACCATAGTTATCAATGGCGCAAATGGCGCGCGCCATAGATGCGCCTTTGGCAATCTGCAGCGGAAACGCCACAAATTGGGTCGTGGCGGCCGATTGACTCGTGGCAGCGCCAAATTTGCGCCATCGCCATTCTTGCGCCATTTTTTTAATTTAACCCGACCCAAACCCAAAAAATTAGGCCCATTTAAGAAATTAAACCTTTATTTAGTAGTCTCCAGCCCCTTAATCTTCCCAATCGATTCCCAATCGACGCTCAAAAACCGCCAAGCCTCGAATCCCAAACGTCTTCTTCTTCGTCTCGTCTTCTTCTTCGTCTCGTCTTCTTCTTCTTCTGGTCGCGTCTCCTCTTGCGACTCACCAAAGCAATTGACGACGACAGGGGAAATATGGGGTAAGTACTTCCTTTTTCTTTTTTTTAACCCATCAGTATACTTTTTTTTTTCTTTGAAAGCTTTTCTTCCTTTATCTATTTTAAGTAATGCAAAGTACTGTGTATTATAGTTGATTATACTGCCAATATTTTCAAAGGTGATTCACTTTAATATTTTTTTTTCACTTTTAATTTTTGAATTATTTTTAAGTTTTGATTAAGTTGTGTTGTTTTACTATTGGCACCATGGACCCTTAGAGTGCTTTGGATTTGGAGTGACTTCTCATTTGTGTTTTACTACTTCACTTTTTAGATCAAGTAATCTATTGTTTTTTATAGAATTTATTCCTTATACATGTGCAAATATTAGTAAATTAATATTCTGTGGCTAGTGTCTTGTGGCAACGCCATATATGCGCCATCGCCATCGCCATGCGATATTGGCCCATCGCCATGAATGTCGCCATGCGCCATGACAACTATGCTATACTTGTTTTACCATTTTTGTCAGCCTCTTTATTTTGGCCCATTCAATATTCGGTAGCTTTTATGTGACTCATGTTCATTCTTACTTTTTTCGTAATTATTAACATCAATAGCCAAAACACAATTCTAGTTTTCTTAATTTGCCTGCCACCACCCCCATGTTCTAAAAATAGTGTGATATGGGAGTATGTTGATATTATATGAAATTCTCAACTACAAATGGTTTGCCATTCTATTTTTTCTAAAATTACATTAATAAAATAAAACACATTTTTCTCAAGTGTTTATGTTCACATTCCCTTTAAGTGCATGCCTAGGTGACTAGGTAATGCAACACATTTTTCTCAAGTCTTTGTGTTCACATTCCCTTTAGGTGCATGTCTAGTTGACTAGGTGTGCAATGGTGTGAACTTAAGGATCTAACAAGTTTGCCACTTGATATTTTGTTTTTTGTTTTTATCTGCTATTTTTTTAAATTCATCATTGGAGGTGATTATAATGGCCATGTCATGGAAGATGCAGAGGGGTTTTGAGGAGGTGCATGCCAGGTTTGGCTGTTGCGTTAGGAATTTAGAGTGGGTTTCTCTCTTGGAATTTTCTTTAGAGAGTGTTTGGATGATCATCACCTCTTTCTTTCAAAAGTCGGAGGACCACTTGATAACTTTTGGCATTCATGTGTGGAGGTTGCAGACTGATTACTTCCTCCTGTGTAGGTGTAATTCGGAGTGATTGGTCGAAGAAGTGCTATGGAAGGATGCAAAAATAATTCTTAATAGAATAAGTGCTCGAACATTAGAGGGGGGTGAATAGTGTGGCACAAAAATGTTGCTAAATTTTTGCGGAATAAAAAGCGTAGGAATAAAGTATTAAGTGCGAAAAGTAAGGCGAAAAAGAACACAAAGATTTTTATACTGGTTCACCCATAGTTATTAAAGGTGTGCGCATAGTTATCACGGCGTCGCGGCGCCCTCCAGATCTCGCCTTGATGATTCGATTCGCCTAATTTTCAATTCCTCGCCTAGGCGTCGCTTTTCGGACAACTTGGCGTCCTGGCGCAACGCCTTTGTCGACTAACGCCGTAAACATGGTAGTCAAATTCCAGATCTGGATCTTCTAATTCTATATCCCAGATCGACTTAGGGTTTGCTGCGAAGAAGACCATACGATCCTAGATCTTCTCCGATCAGATGCGAGAGAGTCGAGGGTTAACATTCGAGAGACAGCCGACCCGACCCGACCCTTTAATTTCGACGGAATTCCCAGCGGCTAGCACTATTCCCGTAGGACTTTAACTTTTTTTATTTCCGGCTTTTCAGCTTCTCTTAATTCCCCAGCGACTAGCACGCCCTATATTCCTTTAAAATTAACCTTTTGCCATATATTTTCTTTAATTAAAAGATGTCTTCTACAAGTGTTTTTTTATATTTTCTATTTTTGAAAAAACATATATATAATATAATACTCCGTAAAATAGAATAAAATAAAATAAAATATAATATAATATAATAAAATATAATATAATTTATATATATATATATATATATATACATATACACATACATATATGTATGTGTATGTGTATGTGTGTGTGTGTGTGTGTGTGTAATTTGTTGCCTAGGCGCTCGCCTAGGCGTCATGGCGATACCTTGGCGCCGCGCCTCGCCTTGGCGCCGTGATAACTATGGGGGTGCGCCTCTCTCGCCCATAGTTTGTAAGGCGTCGCCTAGGCGTCACCTAGGCGATAAGGCGCTATCACTGGGATGACTTGTCTGCTCGCCTCGCCTTGAAAACCATAAGGCGACTAGGCGTCGCCTTACCTCGCCTTAATTCGCCTTACCTAGCCTTGATTCCTTGGGCCACTTTAAAATTTTGAAAAAACCCATTTTTTAGTGCAGCCCATTTTCTTTTAGGGTATATATATATATATATATATATATATATATATATATATATATATATATATATATATATATATATATATATATATATATATATATATATATATATATATATATGTAGGTATGTATGTTGCCTAGTCGTCGCCTAGGCGTGCGCCTAATCGCCTAAGCAATATGAAGGTACATTGGCGCCTCGCCTCGCCTTTCCGCCTTACAAACTATGCTCTCGCCAAAGGTTCCTTAGGCGTTGAGGAGACCCTATGTTGCCTCAAGACGATTGGGTGAGGCAGTTTTAAAATGGGGACACCTGGCGAAAGGTGTGAGGCAATCGCCTATTCAGTCTTAGGGCTTTGTTTTTTTAGCTCTGCTATTATCGTCTCCCATTCACTATTATCGACTTCATCTACCTTCTCCCGACTATTTTGATTAGTTGTAAGTCTAATTTTACCTACCTGACCCGCCTTGATTTGAAATGGTCAGCCAATTTTCAACATGGACAATCAATTTTAAAAGGTTAAATGGAAAGTCTAGGGAAGAAGGAAAAGGCCAAAAAACCAATTGTCAATTGGGACAATCCATTTTTACGGGTCTCTAAAAAGTCCTGGGATGGACTATGCAGCAAGACAATCGATTGCCTAAAGACAGATTTGACTTTTGTGGCTTTCATGCAAGTTAAGTTAATAACGTGAGCGTGAACCAAGAACAAAAAACTGTGGGCTAAGATCAAAAACCAAATATCGCAATTATGGTTAAAAGTCAAAAACCTTTTTATGCATATATAAAAATGATTTTGGTTGAGCCAAGAAACAAGATAAATTAATTATTGATATTCCAAGAGTTCTACCTAATGACCTACGTCTTTGGGTCTTCAGTCTTGAACTCTTTTTCTTTCGTGGCTTGTCTTCAAGATTCTTGGCACTTGTTTAAGCTTGAAACCGTCACTACACATTATTTGGCCCTTGATTAAGCTTGAAACCATCATCACACATTTTTTGTCATTCATCAATACCTGCACTTGGAAATTATGTTAACAACCACCAAAACACATATCAATTATTTCCATGCAAAGTCTAACAGTGATAATCTTACAACCCAATATAAGTTACTGGTGATAGATGTTGCCTTGAGATGGGTGATGAAGAGGTGGACTAACTCATATCTCCCTGGAGAGCTTCGGAAGGGAGAAGATTCCAAAGTTGGTTCCTCGAGTCTAAGAGAAAAGTGCATTGGAGACAAGATGTGAGGCCCACGCAACATGTGGGGCAGATAACGTGTGGGCTAAGACCGCAAACCGCATCTGACGCGAGGTGTTAGGCATAACCTGAGGTAATGGGAGCCGACATATAGGGATTGGTGGTGGAGTGACTGGTGATGTAGTTCAAGGGAATATGCAAGCTAAGAAAGCTATGCATATGAGGTTAATGGAATGTCAAGATGAGGAGGTTTTAGGGGATGTTAAGAGTTGAGTATAAGATTGAACGTAACAACTGCTAATAATGTAGCTTTTGAGTGTTTGTATAAGGACCTGGAAGAGCAACGAAGTAACAAGAGATTGTTCCGGCTAGCTAGGTGCATGTGGGGAAGGCCCGAGATCTGGAACATGTTAGATGCGTGAATGGTTGAGATCGCATTGTTTTGTTCGATGGTGTATTTGAGAAACCAGTGGTGGGCTTACTTTCATGGGCTTATGGATGTTGTAGGGCATGAGAGCATAGACCTATAAGGACTTAGAAGAGCAATGAAGCGACAAGAGATTGCTCCGGCTAGCTAAGGCGCACAAGGCCTGAGATCTGGAACATTTGAGATGTGTGAATGGCGGAGATCACATTGTTTTGTTCAATGGTGTACGTGAGAAACCAGTGGTAGGTTTACTTTCATGGGCTTATGGATGTTGGAGGGCATGGGAGCATGGTACTAGGTGAGTTGGAGCATTCTAAGAGGTTTCAAGATCTTGGGGGGCGCATTAGTCAAAAGGAGGCAGTGAGGGCCATTCACAGGATGAGAATAGGGAGAGAGTCGGAAAGCCATAAGGCCGAATGAGATTCTGATGGAGTTTTGGAAGATTGTGGGTAGTAGTGGGCTGGCCTGGATTACCTAGTTCTATAATGTTTTTTAGAATAATTAAGATGCCCAATGAGTGGAGGGAGAAAGTGGTGATCCAGTTGTACAAGTGCAAATATGATAATTATAGAGGCATCAAAATACTTAGTTGCAGCATGATAGTTTAGGAAAATATAATTAGGCTAGGTTGAGGAACGAGGTGTGCATTTTCAAGAATTCGTTTGGTTTCGCATGTAGGTTATTTACATATTTGGTGAAAAATGAGGTGGTACATGTTGAGGCTAAGTTGCAAGAAGCTAGGCTGAGTTGATGAGGTTGTTTATGCACATACGTAAAGAGAAGTTGGGCGAGGAGATGCACGAGGCTTGCCGTAGTGGGTTTGATAAGGGGCAGAGGTTGACCTATAAGGGTAAAAGGGATGTCATTAGACATGACTTTAGGATCTTACATGACCTTACTTTGTCAGATCTGGTTGTCTAATTCAGTCTAATACGATTCTTTCTCATATGATCTGAATCCTTCTGGTACCTTCTGCTTCTAGTTAAAGTTGTATATGTTTAGCAAGTGCATGCGTGCTTTCTATGCATTGAGTCTGGTTGGTACTGTTGGTATATGTGCTTATCTCTGTGCTCTTACTTTATCCGTGCTACGGGGTTTACTTTGTTTGTGCTTATGTGTTTGAGGGTCTATTGGACACAACCTCTTTAGTCTTTACTTTTGATTAGGGGTAAGCTTTCGGAACACACGCCCTCCCCACATCCTAATTTTGTTGGATTTTGCTGGGGTTGTTTATTTGCTAGGATGATATTTCCCAGCTTTCTGGTTGGTTAGCCTTCCAATGCTCTAGCGTGTAACTCGGGTTTCAAAGATTGCCTAAAACAAAATCTTTTCGTTTGAGTTTGTCATGTTTGACATTTCATGAAGTGAGTATGGACATATATTGCACCATCAAACATATCACTTCAGCCAGATTTTCTAAACTATGTTGGTCTGCCTGATACAAAAGGGCAATGAAGGATCTTTTTTCTGACTTCTGTTTTTTTCAGAGTTTAGCATATCTGTTGACTTCCTTTGTTTCTGCTCAGTTAATCTCAGTCGAAGCATCTAACTGACAGTTCTGAACCAGCATGCTTAATTGAATGGCTTCTATTTTCCATAGCTTCTTTGTACCTGAAACTGATTGTTTCTACTTTGTTTTCAACTTTTAGATTAAGAAAAAGTCATCATTGTGTATAATCAATGAACTAGGGAAATATGTGAACTTGATGAGGAGTATATGAAAAGCTGGCTGTAGGCCTGTAATATCTTCTTAAAAGATTTAAATTTCAAGTTTATTTTTGGTGATTGAATAATGATACTAAATTTCTTTTCCTCCGGAGTTATCTAAGTGTAAACAAAATGCTCTTCCACTTGCTTTGAGGTCTGAACGTGTATGGGAGTGTATCTGGAACTTGTGTTGCTTCTGGTTCTTAAGCAGTACAAGGCAAATTGATTTCCCTAATGATATCTTATGTGTTTCATGTTTTAATTTATAATGGCTTTTACGACAGGGGTGGCTCCATTGTGGGATGATGTGATTGGCCACTTTACTGAGGTAGCTCTTTTTGATAGATACTCCCTCCGCCCCTAAATGTTTACCACATTTCAAAAAACAAGGCGAAACATTAAGTTTTTTCAATTCATTTTATTTTAATATTGGTATAGAAATAAAAATATCACAATGGAGCCAAAATATCACCATTTTTGGCTTTGGGGTGTGATGGAATAAACAAAATGGATCTCTAAACTGTCTGCGCTTCTTTAATAAATGAAGTAGCAGTTAGTCAAACAATGCAACTTTCGACGTTGAGCCGGGGGTCTCTTTGGAAACAGCCTCTCTACTTTCGAGTAGGGGTAAGGTCTGCGTACACACACCCTCCCCAGACCCTACTCTTGTGGGATTTAACTGGGTTGTTGTTGTTGTTGTTATAGAAATAAAAAATAAAATTTACATATTTAAAAACTACATGAAAAATTCTTCGAAATAAAAGGTGTCAAGAATACTTTATTTTACCAAATAATCAATAAAAATGTACAAATAAACAAAAGTTCCCGTGACTGTTGAAAAAGCAAATGTGCATTTTGGGATGGAGGGAGTATGTAATTGAGTATCTGAATGTTACTTATGCATTTGTTTCATAATTTTCATGACCAAATCTTTTGCAGCTCACAAGTAGTTCAAACCAACATGTTAGAAATTTGGCTCTGAATGCGATGGATCAATCTATATGTGCTGTTTTAGGATCTGAAGTGTTTCAGGAACAAGCTTCCTCTAAAGTCTTTGCCAGCAATGTGAGATAAAATTCCTCATTCCATTATGATCGTCATTTTACCTTAAGAGAGATAAAATTAATAGCTTATAAATTAATGGAGCTATTACAAATTTACAAGATATTTATAGGATAAAGTCTTTCCTACTCTTCATTAGTATGTTTACAGTCGGAGTCCCTCAACTTTACTATTGTACTAGCCTTTACATCTATAATCTAACATTCCCTCTCATATTGGTGATTTTATATTAATCATTCACCATTCATTTCAAACNTGAGAGAGGTAAATCACCAACGATATGGCATACGATGACATGGTGTATGGAACTATCAGAATTGGGAAATGCCTTTGAGGCTAACACTTTATTTCCCGTTAAACAATGTATTTTGATTTGATGTATTATTGAGATGAGAGGGAAATCTTCAACCCAAGCATTTTTCTGAACATTCATTTGAAGTAATATTAGCTCTTGCACCAACGTTATATAAAATTGTTTTCTTACACTGAACTTCAAGATAAAGTGTACACAGAGCAACCTTCAAGGTTTCTCGGTCAGGGGGAGGGGGGTGTAATAGGGTTTTAATGCTTATGAGGATTGAGGAAATGTTCTACTGCACATATTAATGTGCAGAGTAAAAGTTCTGATGCAATGCTTTCATATTTTTTCATCAAGGGCAAAATGTATTTGAGCTAGAATATCACTAAAGAAATGACATCTCTCTGATTCCATGTGACATGAGCAAGAGGGACAGAATGTATGTGTCACATTAATGTGTCACATTTACAAGATATTTGCAGGGCAAAGTCATCTTAAATCTCCTTCATAATTCTTCCTCTCAAGTCTTCTTCAATATGTTTAGAATTGGAGTCTTCATCAACTTTACGACTATACCCATCAGCATCATGTTTTTTTGAAGAAGGGAGAATAGATGGGAGACCTTTTCACAAAAGCATTCGGGTTAATTACTTGGGTAACAAGAACATCTTCTCTTGTCACCGCCATTTAGGAAGGGTGGCCGCAGCCAAAAACCGGTTCTGAAAGCTTCACTGCCGTTGAACTTGCGCGTGCTCTGCATGCACCACTATAGTCCTCGGTCAGTATTTCATACGTCGGCGTGTGAGTCACCGCATTCCTATTTTGTGGCTGCCATTCAGGTAGCCTAGGTCGTCTTAGTTAGGGCATGGACTTTGTTGGAAGTTTGGGCTTGTATGCCGGCTTATATGTTTTGATGGGTTGCTCACTGCTCTCATTTCTGTTTGCGTGTGTGGTGTGAATTCCTTGTGTTTCTGTTTTTTATATCTTGCAGAGATTATTGGAGTTGCATCTCATTTTCTTAACACATGTTTGACTTCATCTTCTTCTCAATAAGTGATTGACTTAGGGGCCACAAACCATAGATAGGTCAACCTAGCTTATTCTCTATCTTTAGATAAACACATCATGTATTCAATTTGGCTGATGGGTCTACCTCTTCGATACGAAGGTTTGGTAGTGCTAAGCCTACCCCTTGCCATCCAGTTTGTATTTCCTAGATTTGCATTTTTATTTGTTCCTTCGAAGCAAACTTACTCGTGCTACCAATTGTTGCGCCACCACATATCTTTGATCATTGCTTCTTTCAAGTTTCAAGGTTTGTGGTCAAAGAGTATTAGTTGTACGAGGCATGAGTTGGAGGGCCTCTATATTCTTGATAGTGATATATCTAAAGTTCTTGCTTGTGCAGGGGTAGTAACTCCATTTAATTCTCATTGTTGCCGATGACATCCATCTCTTCTAATATGAAATCAATTGTATCTTGAGTTCAACATATCTTTCTCATACTGTGAGTCTTGCAAATTTGCCTAACATCGTGTGCATTTGAATCCCAATATCAATGAGGTAACAAATTAGCGGTCGTGTAACAATATAAACCACAAATGGGTAGGCTTTGATATCATGTTAATTGGGCCTAACTACACCCAAAATTGGTCCTCAAATGGCTCAAAGGGTATAGTTTTGCCCAAAATTCTAAATTACACTAAGGTCTCATAAACCATCAATCAATGTGAGATAGATAACAAGTACCATCATCATTTCCATTATTGTTATTTTTTTTGGGTTAACTTTAAATATATATAATACTTCCTCCGTCCTCCTAAGATGTTCTCATTTTGACTTTTGGTGGTTTTTAAGGAGAGTTGAAAAAAGGTGAAAGTTTTCCATAATACCCTTAATGAAAATGGGTGGAGTGTATTAAATGAGGTGGGTGAGGTGTAATAAACAAAGTAAGTGGGGGTAGTTGTGGTATTTTAGTTGTTAAAAAATGAAATGAGAAGATCTATTGTGGACAAAGAAAAAGGGCTATTGGGAAGATCTATGGGGGACGGAGGGAGTATGTACCCAAGAGTTATGCACAAGTATAGGCAGGGCATTCTCCAACAACCTAAAAAAGATTGCATACCTAGGCTAATGGAAAGCTATGATCCAAGAACCAATATTAGTGTTGTTTTTTATGCTGGTATTTTCTTATGATGACTTGAAAACAATGTTTTATTTTTGATGACCCCACCAGGTTTGCCCTGAGAATATAGAGATGAGATCACTCGAACGTGCTATCATATCTCCCTTAACAACCCTTTATTCTTCAACACAAAGCATTGATATTCGTGTTGCATTGCTTAAAATTTTTCTTCATGTTTTGGAGGTATTGTAATGTAATAAACATATTTAGAAGTGATTTAAAATTTATGCACGCTGCGTCTATATATTCTATAGTCTTTTATTTCTTCACACCCACATTTATGCACGCTGCATATATATTTTTTTCAGAGGCATGGAGAAAAGCTGCATTATAGCTGGCCATATATTCTTGACGTTCTAAGGTGTTCATTGTGTTTGAAAAGTTATTTCCTTACTGATCTTCTGCTTGATTGAAGTGTTTTTGGATGTATCCAGATCATCTCCTGCTCCTTTACAAGTTGTTTTGACTTTTGTGCAGGTCTGTGGCGCATGCCGCTGAGAAGGATCTCATTTCTCTTGGATTCCAGGTGAGAACATAAAATGTTTTATCAAGAAGAAAAGTTTCCATTCTGACATACTTTCAAATTCTTATGCCTGCGTGTCTAGGCGTATATACTTTCTGGTTCTAGCAATTGATACTCTGGGTTTTCATGGACATATTTAATGGTCTAGATCTTAGACACCATTATGATGTGTGCGTTAGTGGTTGTTAAATGCCAAGCCTTGGAATGCCAACTCGTGGTGCTATTAATACTACTATTGGGTATCATCATATAACCAATACTTGTAGTAATTTCATGATGAATAAGCATAGAGACATTGGACGAAAAGATATGAACAAGATATGCTTAACAAAGGATAATTATTATCGATTATGGTTCTAGCCTTTCCAGAATAAAGTGTTACGGAGTATTCTTTATGTCTATCCTTAACAATTTTTGAATCTTAAAATGCTTACTTCTTTTAGTAAATTATATGAAGCAGAACATGTTATATTCTATTATAAACCATCTGTTACATCCTTTCTGTTTATCATTTTACTTGCTTGATGATTATTAGGAGTGGTTTCAACTAATGTAAATGTAATTCTTGAATTGGTTGATATTGTTTCCATTACAGTGCCTCCGCATTATTATGAATGATGGCCTTTCATCAATACCTACTAATTGCCTTCATGTGTAAGTAATAATTTGTTCTCACAACCGTACACCTTAGATATAAAACCATGTTTAAATTGTTTGGTGGATTACTTATTTTAGATGGTTAACCCCAATTACATGATTAGCACAGTAAACCTAGTTGCAGATATATGAGGCTACTATATCCTAATTATCATAATCAAAGACATATTCTTCATCTTTTGTTCTCACTTTTCAATGTAAGCTGGTGTATAAGACATAAACAGGGTTATGTGTATTCCTTTATTCTACACACATTAAATAATGCATACTCCTTATTATCGCTTTCTTTTTCCTTCAAATCTTGTTCTCATCTTTTATTTGCTTTCACTGCTACGAATGTGGAAAAAATCTTGTACTTTTCACTACACTTGCTCATTCACATTCTTGTAACCTTTTATTCCATCTCTTTTGTTCCTTTTGGGTCGCAATATGGGGGAGAGAATTGGCATCAAACATGACTCTCATCGTGATCCCGTTGCATGTGTATGATGTGGGCGTTGCCCATGCAACGTGTAACACACAACTTAAGTTTTCCTAAACTAT